GGAACGGACGAAGCCATCCTAGGTAAGGGTTTCACAGAGTTACAGGGCCTGCTTCTTGCTGCCAGTCCCTTTGGTTCTGGAGATAACTTTGTGTCAGGCCATTTCTACCCCTCCAGAAGCAGGGTATCACTGACCCTAAACGTCCTTAAATGTTTTCCCTTTTCGGGGTGAACGGAGTGCTTGCGAGAAGAGCCAGAGGCAGGGTCTAGGAGGGTATCCTTGCAGTAGGTGCGGCATGGCCATGATAGTGTAAGCTCTCCACACATTGCTTCATGGGACCGTCTCGAGGGACAGGGCTATGTTGTCCGGTCTCTGGGCTCTCTGCTAAGGGTGTGGAAAGAATGGTCTTCTGTCTCGAGCACAGAATCAGGCTTCTTATGTCACTCTGAGCTCATCCCCCAGGCATGCCACACTGCTTTTTCTTCCTATGGAGAACTGGGATGATAGTAGGTCCCTCGCTAGAATGGCGGGTTTGCTGCTGATCCCGTGAATGTGTGCCAGGCGCTTTGAGTCCGGCCGAGGCTGGAGAAGCGCAGAGCCTTGTCTGGCGAGATGGCTCATAGGTACAGGTCCCCGGCGTCTGTAAGACTCGAGAGGCAGCAGGGGAGGCGGGGGCTGAATGGGGGAGGAAGGCACGGACCGTAGCCAGTAACCGAAGTGTCTCTCTCAGATGGGAAGGAGTATGACATTTACGTGTCCTATGCCCGGAATGCCGAGGAGGAGGAGTTTGTGCTGCTGACCCTGCGTGGAGTCCTGGAGAATGAGTTCGGATACAAGCTGTGTATCTTCGACAGAGACAGCCTCCCCGGGGGAAGTGAGTATGTCCCGGGGGATGCCCGCCGTTCATGCCCTTCCCCTTTAGTAGGTGGGAGGCCGTGGTGATTGAGAGGACGGGGAGAATAACCTGGCCTTTCATGTTACACTTTATTTCAAAGCAATGACCCCCACACCATTAAACATCCCTCGGAGCAGATTCCGGCATCTTGCTTCATGGGATGTTGCAAACACTTGGAACACTTGCAAACAACAGTGCGGGGCGCTGCCGTGGTCAAATGACAGTGGGTATTTTTCAATGCTCTTTCCAGGAGGAGTGTTGAACTGCGCTCTAAAAGCACTGCAAGGCAACCAGACCCCTATCCTTAAATAAAACTTCTGAACTGGCCTGAGGAGGAGAGGATAAAGTTGGGGGGGTGGACTGAGGAATAGGGGATTTATTGTACTAGCTCAGATCCGTAATCCATCCAGTGCATTACCACGTCACTGACCCTGGCTAGCACCCGCTGCGTCAGAGGAAGGTGCAGTAAACCCTGCTATAGCAGTGATGGGATGACCAGTCCTCAGGGAAAGTTTCCTACTAATCTCCATTAGTTAGAGAGTAGCTCATACCCTGGAGCATGTCTATCCTTAGTAAATATCAGCATATTCATAACCCTGAATAGCAAATACGACATTTGTATTTTTGGGGGGCCCACCCATTAATGATGGACAGGGCCAAGGGGCTCCACACCCGGGAGTGGCCGAATCCAGGACCCTCCTTGGATCAGTTGTACAAACCTGGGGTTGCAGAAGCAAAGATGCAAGAACAGCCCGTACTCCAAATGCCCCATCTCCTGGGGAACCCCACATGGCTACAGGGCACAGAAGTTGCAGAACCCCAGTAGGAGGCTAGATAAGGGCCACCGCCACTGAAGTCAATGGAAAGAATGCTCTTGACTTCAGGGGACTTTGGGTGAGGGCCTGGTTGTGTCAGAACGTGTGCTGGTAAAAATCACTAGCTCAGTTGTTCCAAAGTAGCGGCTTGCGCACTCAGTTACCCCAAACCAGGAGTGACTCCCCTGGAGTCATACACCGGTCTGAGCAGCTGCAAGAGATCAGAATCAGACCCTGGGTCCTTTTGCTCTCCTAGTCCCATGCAGAGTCCGTTGACAAGGTGCTTGGGCGCCACCCCTTTGACAGAGAAGTAAGCAAAGATGACTCACCAAGTGGGTGACCAGCTAAAGCCCCTGGGTGGTTGGTCAATGCAAAGGCTGCACGAAGAGGCGAGCCGTACGCCAGCTTGTTTGTTTTCGCCAATGGTCAGGCTCTGGCAGATGCTCGGAAGGACCAGGCTCCTGCAGCCAGCCCTGGATAGTTCAGTCCAGCAGCTGTTCACTCTACGTTGTTCCCGTCTGCCTAGCTAAGGCCAGTGGTCAGTAGACGGAGGCAGGGTGTGAATGCTGAGAGAAAGGGGAAGGACCGTGGCTCCTCCTTCCTTCCACCCACTGACAATCCCAGGTGGGAGGAGGCTCAGAAGAACCATTTTTATGTCACCAAACCCTGGAGCCACAGAGCAGTTCCCACCAGGTGTTTGCACGGGTGTCACTTGACAGCATCATCTGGCCTTTTACGAAAACTTACAGTTTTACAGCAGGCTCCAGTCCTGACTGGGGGCTTTGGGCACCGATTCAAAGTGAAAATAGCAGGTTAGTTCAGCCCCTGCAAAGCACCAGACAGCAGAGGGAGGGTTTGGTGAACACTGATGATTTAAGTTGTTTTGTTTTTTTCTAGGCTAAATCTTCAGGGTTTATTCTACTTCTTAACACAATTTTGAGGCAGCCATGGGCTAAAAAGTGCAGTTCTGTGCTGAGAAGAGACTCTGTAAACTTGGCATCTCCTTCCGCAGCAGATCTGCTCCCGGTGTCTGTTAGCAGTCAGATCAGCAAGTTGATATTTGTATGGTTTTCTGCTCCAGTTCACCTTGCAGAACTGATGCTGCTCTGGGAGAGAGAGAGGTTCTGTCCCTTCTTGTGAATCAGCAGGATTGATTCATGACGTTCCAGTCGTGTGTTGGCACAGGTGTCACTGGAAGGCATAGTTTAGCCTACCGTCTCTTTATTGCTGGTGGTGATGTACAAGAAGGAAAGAATCCAGCTTGGCTCTCAGATCCCAGGTAGGGTTTGCAGGGCTGGCAGTTAGACATAAAACGTATTTGCGGGCAGATAAGTTGGAGTCCCTGAGAGGCGATACACTTGGAACCCCCAATGTCATTTTTGCAGTGAGCTCCAGGTAGAGCAGGTCATTAAGGGTGAGATGTGGCACAAAGCCAGGACTAAGGTCCCATGGCCCCAGAGTAGGAACAATGATGGCAGAAACAGGGTAGGCCTGTGTTGTTGGAACATGAATGGGAGGATCCTCACTCAATGAGGAAGGAAAGACGGTAACAGAAAACGAAAGTGCTTCACTTAGGAAGGAATAACTGCATAAATACAAAATGGGAAACGACTGCCTAGGAAGGAGTATTGCAGAAAAGAATCTGGGGGTTATAGAGGATCACTGACTAAATATGAGTTAACAATGTAATGCTGTTGCCAAAAAGGTGAACATCATTCTGGGAGGTATTAGCAGGAGTGTTGCAAGCAAAACACGAGAAGTAATTCTTCTGCTCTATTTGGCGCTGATAAGACCTCAGCTGGAGTATTGTGTCCAGTTCTGGGCACCACACTTCAGGAAAGATGTGGACAAATTGGAGAACGTCCAGAGGAGAGTAACAAAAATGATTAAAGGTCTAGAAAACCTGACCACTGAGGGAGGACTGAAAAAATTGGGTTTGTTTAGCCTGGAGAAGAAAAGACTGAGGGGGGACATGATAACAGACTTCAACAAATACATAAAAGATTGTTATAAAGAGGAGGGTGATAAATTGTTCTCCTTAACCGCTGAGGATAGGACAAGAAGCAATGGGCTTAAATTGCAGCAAGGGAGGTTTAGGTTAGAAATTAGGAAAAAGCTTCCTGTCAGGGTGGTTAAGCACTGGCATAAATTGTCTAGGGAGGTTGTGGAATCTCTGTCATTGGGGGTTCTTAAGATTAGACAAACACCTGTCAGGGATGGTCTAGATAATACTTAGTCCTGCCTCAGTGCAGAGAGTTGGACTAGACGACCTCTCCAAGCCCTGTCCAGTCCTACATTACTGTAATGAAGCCAAGCACGCATGGGGCTGAATGTTTCAAGAGCAGATTGGCTGGTTGCTTTAGGAAGTGCTTAACCTGTTTCCTTTCCTTCTGGTGTTGGTCCCAGATGCCCATTAATTGACTACTCTCTTCCCTGCCTCGTTATGGTTCACGTCTCTGCTCGTTATGTTCCACAGCTATTTTATATCAGCAGGAAGGACAGCTCTGCGTCTGACCTACAGCTCCACTGTTCTGTTCTGTTCTTGCCTGGCTCTCAAAGGGTGCTGTCTGCTGTGATTCTCTCATAACCCAGCAAATGCACATTTTCCTTGGGAACTAACTATAAATCGTTCTCTGCCTTTCGCTCTGGTGTTCTCACCCCGCTTTCTCTCCATGTGCGATATCACCCACTCTGCTTCCTCGGGGACTGGTCCAGTTGAAAACAACAGAGCATCTTTCCTCTCAAAGGGTCCCAAAGCGCTTTCCAACCAGCGTGCACAGGGATTGCTTCATCCGCCTTGTGTGTGGAACCCAGGGGTTGTTTAGCACAGGACATGAGGAATATCTTGTCCATATGAATTGCCTACAATGAAAAGGGCCATGGGAATTTCAAAGGCTGCTGGTGGTGAGTGTGTGAAGGTGGGATTTCCAGCAGCATGGTGCCCTCGCGCCGTACCAGAACTTCAGTTCAGCGTGACTCAGTGGGACAGTCATGTCTTGAGCTGGTCAAAAGTTATCCACACATTTCGGTACATGATTCAAATTATTTGGTGAATGTTTTTTTACTGTTATTCAGCCAGCTCTAACCAGCATCTGCTGACTGGCCACCACCACTCCCTGCAGGATCATATCTGAAGGCGGCAGGTCTGCAGGCAGACAGCAGTATCCTGCCCTCAGGGCAAGCCTGATCCTCTTCCTAAATTCTCTACAGAGAGAGAGAAGCAGCAGGGATCTGATTAAACAAAATAAAGAGCTAAAGGAAATAAATCAGCCAAGTCCAGCACTACCGCTCAGCTGTGCACTGTGCTAAGAACTCCTGAGGGGGCAGAGCTTTCAGTCGAGCTCAGCTGTAATGTGGGTAATTGGCAGAGTAGCCGTTGCTTTGTGTCTGAGCTGCTGGGCTCTTCTGCTGCGTGTCCTTGCACAAAAAGAAAAGCTCCTTGTTTAAATCCCCCGTGGGGCATGGTGATGTCTGCCACCGCGCGTCTGACGACACCCATCACCAAGCGACTCTGGCCACTCCTCTGCCCTGTTGGAAGAAACGAATCTGGTGCTCGGGTCAAACAAGTGTGGCCCCAAGCTGCCTTTGGCCAGCACCAGCCTCTACGATGTGGCTCCAACCTCCTGTGCCGTGCTCCGGAAGCAAGGACCATGAGAGTGCCATGGGGATGTGTGGAACAAGGAGTGCAGAAAAGGGCTCTCCTCACCCTCATGCTCCCTTGCAAAATGCACCGGCCACCTCCTGTGCCAAAACAAGAGAATGTGCCGGAGAGGTAGTGACGCTCCATGTGTGAGCTCTAGTCCCCGCCACACATCTGCCTCTCGCTGCCTCCGGCCTGGACAGTGGAGTGGCTGGCATGGGCGCAGCCCGTCTCTTGGGGTGACCAGGGGAGCCAGATTGGCTAACCATGACTTCCTAGAATGAGAATCCACTAACTCCTGACAGGCCCCAGCGAATTCCCAAAGAAAGTGGGTCACCGGAATCTGCCTGCCATGCTGTGCCTGCAAGCGTACCTCTATTTCTCTTGCTCTGCACACTCACGTCTCTGCTTCTCCCCTGCCTGCCCATATCCCTTTGCTGTCTCTCCTTTCCAACCTGATCTAGGCACCCCTCGCCTTCAAGCCCAACCAGCGGCGCTTCCATACCCATCCGTGTGACGCAGGC